ATATATATATATATATATATATATATATATATATATATATATATATATATATATATATATATATATATATAGAGAGGGAGAGATAGAAATGTATACATTAATATATATTTAATTATTATTAATTTATATATTTAAAAAATATTTCTCCCGAAAATGCCAAAATTCGGGTCCTTGTGAATTTATGTCACACACGGGTGACACTTTTAACTGGGTTTTGAAATGCATTTTTGTTATACTATACCGAGCAAACTCGATCTTACTGGGATTTTTAGAATACAAAAGAATCAAATTAATATGTCCCATGATAAATTTTGACGTTCTTGTCACGAGTTCATTAATTAAATAACTTCGATTAAATAACTTCGCGTATCTGGCACAAACAATTTCTGTTGTCCATAAAAATCGTCTCTTCGTTTCAAGATTTCCTTCCTTCACAAAGAACATGAAAACTTTCTTTCAATGAAGCAAGAACTCGGGACACGAACATTTATCATTTCCGTCGCACTTTCTAAGAACTACGACAAAAGACTGCAAAAATGATTTCGAAGTTAAGCTAGTGGCAAATAATGGGGTCGGATTTAGATGTCGAGGAAAAGACGACAATTTGTGAACACATAAGAACATAAAAACAAGTGCGTGTGGCTTAAATTTCGTAGCAGACCTACGTTTGAGATTAAGAAATAAGTAATACTAATACAATGTGCGTATATCTAAAATTACATTCATCGTCTTTATGACTGTTGCCATAGCTTATGTAATTACGTAATTGTTATATTATTTCCTGATTAGTACGAATAGTCGAGCTAATAAGGAAGCACATATAAGTAAAGCGTTTTAAAGTCTATTTAAACAAATAAATAAGTTAGATTCAGCGGCACAATGGGCAACAAAACGCAGCAGATCTAGTGTCCTAGATTGTCCTAATTAAATTCTTTTCGCGATCGACTTAGAGAATCCGATCTTCTAATAAGGAAGCGTTCGAGCATTCCTAATCCGAGGGTGTCAAGCTCCGTTCCGGAAGTCGCATTCCGGGTGCATCGATCTCCCGTCTCCGATATCCATGGGATTAAAAACCACGGAGAAAACCATGAAGCTCGAGAACAATGAGCAAATCGATCCGAGGAGCCCGTCTCGCCGGCAAACCTTTTCCTCTCTCCATCCGCATACAAAACACTTTCCTGACGGCGGGCATGAGGCTGCGCCGGTGCTTCTTAATAATACCTGCACCGGGTGGAAATTTAATCAAGTTTTTAAATATTCCGCGAGTCGTCACGGGTTCTCACTTGCTCGTCCGCGGGTATCCACGCAAAATCTGGTATTTAGGTGGGAACTGTGGAGTTGGTTTTCCAAAAACCACGGGGCGCGAATAGACGTGAAACATTATGAGCGACGTGCGAACGAGTTTGATAATTATCAAGGTTATATTCTGATTCATATATTCTGATTATAATCAGGATATGTGATGACGTGAGAGTAGATGAACATAAATACAGTAATTTCTCCCTAATTCGCGCTCAGATTGCGCACAAAAATGGACAATTTGGGAAGAGGAGATACGATTATTCGAGTCTCGCGGCTCATTTTTATAGTTGTAATTGCAACTAAGTAATTGCCGATTTCAGTTATAGATGTCTCTCACTCCTATTTTTATGATATCAGTAAATGTTATATTATAAAATTATTATTATTATTATGTTATTTTTTATTATCCGTGAATGTTAGCAACTGGACAAATTGAATGCAGCGGTCAAGGAAAAGCGACCAGAATTGGTCAATCGTAAAGGTGTCATTTTCCAGCAGGACAATGCTAGACCGCACACGTCTTTGTCCACTCGGCAAAAATTGATGGATATTGGTTGGGAATCGATGTTACACCCACCGTATAGCCCTGATCTCGCGCCATCGGATTACCACTTATTTCGATCCCTGGACAACTCCCTTCGTGGTAAAACTTTTAACGATGATGACGCTGTAAAATCTCACTTAACTCAGTTTTTGGCCGAAAAGGATCAGACTTTCTACGAGCGTGGAATTTTCAAGTTGTCGGAGAGATGGCAAAAGGTCATTGAACAAAATGGAAAATACATTACAGACTAAACTTCGTTCCAAGTAAAAAAAATTTTTTATTTCATTGAACAAATCGGCAATTACTTAGTTGCCAACCCAATATAAAAACGAGCCGCAAGGCTCGAATATCCTTCTGGTACTTCTGGTCGAACGAAACGGCCAAATTCGAAGGAAGGCTCGTAACGGTTGACCAACGCACCAATAAAATGATGTGCTCGCACGGCACGAGGCAGAACGCGACAAATTATATTAGAACGAACACGGTTTATGACGGTTTTTGTATCGTATTTTGTACGCGTCACTGTTTAGTAGTAAATAGAATAGTTTCCGAAACCTACTATCTCTATAGTTTGATGTATAGAAAGAAAGGAAGGATAAAACCGTGGTTTGCGAATATCTGCAAGTTTCATTTACGTTCGAGTTATGCACGATCGTTTATCGAACAAATGTAGATATATTATAATTGTTGTTCTAACTCTGCTCGCTCGCACTCTTAAATTATGTTTTAATATCCTAGTTTCCCGAGTTTGTCGCCTTTTCCGTAGCGCCAACTGTTTGTTCAATGAAAGAGGAAAGTTCTCTTCGTTATTGACATTTGAATTGAGCGTCGTTCTTTCCAGCAAGGGAGACCGGGGCTAGAAGTTACAGAGGTAAAGAGTTACAGTGGAAATTTCCGATCAAAGAACGTATGTAGTTATCGGAATTTCATCGAAAGAAACAAATGCTCGACATCCTTTACTGCCATCCGGTTTATCCTTTAGTTCAAGTATGAAAGGTATAATTTTGGTTAAAACTGGGAGTGGGGTGATGTCCATGGTTTTGTTTCTAAATCACAAGAATTGAGTTCAATTACTACTAAATATTATACTGCAGCGAACATAATGACTTTTTTTTAAAACTGAACTATATGGCTTGAATTTTTTTTAGATTATAGAGGGATATCAGCCTACTAGAC